AATAAGGCATTACAAATTTGGTTACATAAGATGTCTTCGTTTATTTTGTCTTATCGGAAGTAAAGCTCACGATTCACCCCAGTGCTAAGTGGTTTGCGTAAACAGCTTCTCTCTTTAAGGCAGTAATCTCAATCGTACTTCTTATTAGCTATCCCAGGCTTCATACATATAATTATTTCGCGGCAGAAATAGGAGTATAGTGGTTGGTACCTATACATGCAGGCACACAATACCCGCAAAGGTATATAGGTTGATAGTTCTGAATGGAATATAATAAATCTTCTAGAAGATACTAGGAGAACATTCGCTGCAAAGTAGGCGATTTACTGGCTGCCTTCATCAGCAAATAAAATATAATGACACATCCCCGTTTACCTCTTCCCTTATAATTTAGTACGGGAGTACAAATTAAACAGTGCTACTACACTTTGTACGTGGCTCTGCATAATAATGTTCCTACATTATTAAATAGGGCTTATTAAAATACTGCCTTGAAATTAAAACGATGCGAACGAAATATAAATAGCCGGTTGTATTTACGTGAACTACCGTTTTTACGTGTAATATATTATATATTTTTTAATTAATGAAGAATCACTAAAAGAATATTGGTTACGTAATATGTTTCTTACGGCTTATGACGTCATAATCCACCACGTTAGAGTATTTTATTTTATGTTTAAGTAAGTTTTAATGGTTTGCATCGAATTACAATTCACAAAGACAAAAATATTGTTGATGCATTGGTTGAAAATACGATCAGACCTTTTTCCTATTAGACATACGTACATAGCACCGGTTGACACAACTGTTACTTAATACAATTGAGATTTCGACCACGTGTCTTAAGGTAACGGTTCAAGTTCTCTTTTTTTTTTCTTAGGTGGGTGGACGAGCTCACGGCCTACCTGGTGTTAAATGGTTACCGGAGCCCATAGACATCTACAATGTTAATGCCACCACCTACCTTGAGATATAAGTTCCAAGGTCTCAGTATAGTACAACGGCTGCCCCACCCGTCAAACCAAAACGCATTACTGCTTCACGGCCGAAATAGACAGGGTGGTGGTACTTACCCGTGCGGACTCACAAGAGGTTCTACCACCAGTAATTACGCAAATTATAAATTTTGCGATTTTGATTTCTCCTACACGATGTTATTCCTTCACAGTGGAAGTCAATCGTGAACATTTCTTAAGTATGTACGTATTTCATTATAACAATTAGTACTTTCCAGCGAGATTCGAACGCCGGTATATTGCTAGATGCGAATGTACCGGACGTCTTATCCTTTAGGCCACGACGACTTAATAAATTCTTAGTTCTCATTTCAAATTCTCATTCAGTTCTTATGTTTTTAAGCTCCGTTATCCACTTAAAACCAGGTAGTCAGTCGGGTATTGGCTGTGCGCCTGTATGTCATTTCTGACGTTCACAAGCGACGCTAAACACTCACCATCAGGTATACCTTATTCTGGTCCAATAATTCAGTGAATTTTTTTTTAATAAAATCTAGAGAAAAAAGTCACGATTGAAAAACTTTTAAAGTTATATGTCACGCAAATCTAGAACACATTAGAGACAATCAAACTTCGAAAGCTTCGAAAGCTTTTCTGTTTATAAAGCTTATATTGTGGACATTCGGCCTTCTGCTTCTGGGATCGAGATATATTATTACAGACGCACAGCGTGTCCTTCCTTGTTATAACATTAAAACAGGCGTTGACGTAATTACGTTTATTGTAAAAACACAACACTTTGTTGCTTCAAGAAACATCTAACAGGCCGCAAGTGTTAAACGTATTATGCCGAAGTGTTTCAATATGTCAAATCGATTTGAATAATGTTAAATCGAGTTCGCTTGAATCCGCCGTAGGGGTAATTCGCCCACGCATCGATACTTTTTATTTCTGGACCAATTTGTGTAATAAAGATAATGATGGATACGCCATTTAGTGTTTATTGAACAACCTTTTTGTTCGTTGTTCTAAATTTAAAACAGATAATTCAAATTAGAACTCAAATTTCGTGTTCTAGTCTGAAATCTGCTTCTCAAATTTTGCTTCGCTCTTTAATATTTCCAATCCTAATTAACATCGAAATATTATGAGAATAATTTTAAAATAGCTGATAGTGAGACATAATATGTCGGCAAATACACCATCTTCCACTATCCACATAAGCCGTGAATTAAACATGCTTTCCGCTTTCGTAGGCGGTCAAGAAATGCAATGTAAATCCATTATTTTATAGTAATAGATACTTCACCTTGTTTAGTGGTTACTGGATTTCATAGACATCACACAGTGAATGCTGCATCCACCTTGGAACCCAAGGGCTAAGTTTTATTTATATTGTTGTAGAACCACTTTCCCACTATTAAAACTGGAATATTGGAATATTCTTCTATTCTATTAAAACTGGAATATTGGAATATTCTTCAAACAACCCTTTGCCAAGATTTTTTCGGAAATTGTCCCAAAAAAGCATATTAAACTATATCTTCTTCTCGATCTTTCCCTCATTTCTGAGAATCTTGATTCTTCTCTAGTCTTTTCTCTCTCTCTCCACACATTCCTATCATTTAATTTTGTATTGTGCAGAATTTTGTTGATCGGCACTTTTAGCTGCTGAGTAACTTTGTGGGGCCACTTCTTTGGACTTCGGCCTTTAGGCTTTTGATCTTCTATTTAGCCGGTAACGATTAGTCTTTGCGCGTTATCAGAGTTCCTGGATATATACGGTTACATCACTTATTTCTGTGACCAATTAGCGTTCTGTCTTGGAAAATGAAACAGCCACTATATATAGGTAATATAATTGACGATTTTTTTTTAATTAGCGGTATTTCCAGTAAACGATTGACAGGTCTGAACTTAAAAAAAAAACGAAGTCACTATAGTCTTGTATTCTTTTCAACAGAAAATATGCAGTAACTAAACCTCTGCAACGTCAACCGACAGCTATATGACAAAAGCAAAGCAATGACGCCGTCAAAGCATCTGTCTTTTCATAGTCAACTTAACTAAAAGGATTAAAATGATATCTTCCGCCGTCTGACTGCGAGTGTGGTCCACCGAGCGTTAACAGGAAGGTCTTTTGTTAGGAGCTTTCAAGATTTTTGTTACTTTAAGCTCTTAATACTTTTATTCCATTATTTTTTAATTTCCAGTCTTATTATAGAAGGGTTGATTTTTAATCCCGATTACGTGCAAGCAAAAGCGTTTTCCGTTCTTTTGTAGAATCCTTAGTCTCCTTTCAGACTGCGATGTGGTTGTGATTTTTTAAGTTCGAATAATGAATAAGGTATATAATGTTTGTTTAAGAAATCTTATTTACTACCTGTAACACGCGTTAATGTAGTTTAGAATGAAAAAAATGTATCCCTCAGTTATAGTACTTTTTTCTTGGTGAAATATTACTAGATGATGACCGAGCTTTGCTCGTTTTTTCTTTTTTTGATAACGCCATCTTGTTGTTTCTTTAAAGCGGTTAGTTGCCCTCAATTAAGAAAAACAGTATTATTATTCGCCAATAGATGTCGGGAAGAGTGATTTTTGAAAACACGAATAAAACAACATTTTCTGAAAATAAATCGTAGCTAGATCGATTTATCGCCCCCGAAATCCCCTTTATACTAAATTTTATGAAAATCGTTGCACCGTTTCCGAGATTCAGATTATATACATATATATTAATATACAAGAATTGCTCGTTTAAAGGTATAAGATTTTCTTTGTGTTCTTTCCCGTAACTTTGATTACGGGTATACAAAATTTCATGATCACCGGTAGAATGTGTACTAAGCAAACTCACTGTAACAACACCATTTTAATCAATTCATATCTAGCAGACGTTCATAGTAAATACATGTTCTTAAAACAATACTTTACTTAAAACAATAACTTTACTGGTGGTAGGACCTCTTGTGAGTCGGCACAGGTAGGTACCACCACTCCGCCTATTTCTGCCGTGAAGCAGTAATGCGTTTCGGTTTGAAGGGTGGGGCAGCCGTTGTAACTATACTGAGACCTTAGAACATATCTCAAGATGGGTGGCACATTTACGTTGTAGACATCTATAGACTCCAGTAACCACTTAACATGAGGTGGACTGTGAGCTCATCCACCCATCTAAGCAATAAATAAAAAATTACAATGTACAAAAAATTACGATTTAATTGAAAAAGTAAATGTATTATGATTACCACATGAAAAACAGATAGTATTAAAATTAAATGATACATTATAGTAAAACATAAAGACGTCATACTAAGTTTACAAAAAAGGTTTTTGTATAATCAAATATGACACGATAGTTTAGGCCAGTGCTTAATTATTACAAAATTATGATTTTACGCCTTTTCAGATACACACAAGTAAAACTGGTGGCATAAGATTAAGGCTTCAATGTGTTTCGAAGTGGACAGTGTTATCCATGAGTTCCATTGCAGGCTTTAGGTTATAAAAATATGGAAGAAACATTTATAGGGCTTGAATGTTGAATGAACATTGACCGTGCACAATATTTCAAATCTTTGCAGGTTTCATCGAAGGATGTTCCCACACTAAACGGAATTCCAAATAAAAATACAATCGAATACAAAAGCTTATACAAAGCTTAAATTAAAAATATTTGTTTATTATAATTTTCTCAAATATTTCGAAACTGATTAGAATAAGTTTTTGAAATAAATAAACATTGTTAGAAATTTAAAAAAAATCTTATACCTACCTACATAAAATTATAAAAAATATACTCAAAAGTTTAGTCACGAAAGCAGCTGATGCCTTGTGCTCATTCAAAGTTTGCGGTTCGGGATACGTACAGTCGATCGCTAAAGCTCCGTAAAAAATATAATTTATTGTAATAAGTCGTCGTGAGCGTTCGGCCGCCGCTCGGCTCATCTCGCCTCTCACCCTTCGTCCCCCTACGAAGCGAACACTACTCAACTGCAATGGCTCTACACATTCAGTCGACTCGTAGCAGCGTCTGTGAACGGTCGCGCCACACGACGCTCCGAACGTATTTACGAACCGTGAAAACACGCTTATCACTAACGTGTATAATAACAATTCTGAAAACTATGTTTAAAAATCAACGATTTTAAACTTAAAATACTGTTGTAGAAAAAAATCATTACTTGGATTTTGTGAACTTTTTTCGTGCTGTTTTCTGGAGATTAAAAATTGTTTACGATCACGCTGGACATCGCCAAGTGTTTAATAGTGAATTAAACCATGTGCTTTAACAATACAAGAACTGTGTTAACTACGGCCGAAATAGACTTGGTAAATTGATGGATACTACACATCCGGCAAGGGGACAACGCAAACGAACGCCGACGGAAAAAACATGACACTGAGCCTATCGTGCCCTGTTTTCTTTCTTCCTTGATATTTGATTTATCTCGCAATGGCTGTTTCTCGATTTTCATCAAGACAACTTCATATTAGCCGAATCATTATTTGGTTCATGGTTGGATTCAACGTCGCCGATCAGAGTTCTTTGCCGTTGAAATATGAAGCTCCCGATGATTGCCAGTGGTGGCTTCGGGGTCCGAACGACGCTCACGAAGTCTCACTGACTTGTAAACTTCGCACTATAAACAGTGAATTCGACACNATGGCTGTTCCTCGATTTTCATCAAGACAACTTCATATTAGCCGAATCATTATTTGGTTCATGGTTGGATTCAACGTCGCCGATCAGAGTTCTTTGCCGTTGAAATATGAAGCTCCCGATGATTGCCAGTGGTGGCTTCGGGGTCCGAACGACGCTCACGAAGTCTCACTGACTTGTAAACTTCGCACTATAAACAGTGAATTCGACACGACAAATTTTAGTGTCATACCATCAGAACATACAACCTCTCTAAGAATAGAGTGCAACGAAGAGATGATGTATAAAAGTTCATTAGACGATCGAAGTTTTGCGCATTTAGTAAAACTGCGTGAACTTGTTTTAGATAACTGTAAAATTGGAAGATGGCCGCCTGGCGTACTTTCCGGCTTGAGAGACCTCCGTAATTTAACGATCCGAACGAAAAACACGGAGTGGGCCGCTATGAGTTTAGAGATAGCATCAGAAAGCTTTACCGCCGTTCGGCAGTTGGAAAAGTTGGATCTCAGCTTTAACAACATTTGGTCGTTTCCCGAGAACTTGTTTTGCCCGTTAACGAACTTGGTCTATTTGAATGTCTCTTCGAATCGTCTTCAAGATGTAAGTGATTTAGGATTCAGAGAACGCGCAGTTCATCAAGCTTTGATAAGTGAACAAGATGGACCGATACCTTCCACAGCATCGGCACACTCGACGTGTTCGCTAGACATAGAAGTCTTAGATGCCTCCAATAATCATTTTGTGCTGATGCCAGAAAATGGATTTATGTCGCTACGTAGACTAAAGGAACTCCATATCCACGATAACGAAATTTCTATGGTAGCCGACAAATCACTATCCGGACTGAAACAATTGCAGATAATAGATCTCTCGAACAATAAGATCGTTGCTCTTCCCCAAGATCTATTTAAAGATTGCCGACCAGTGATAAAAGAAATATACTTACAAAATAACTCTATCAGTGTGCTTTCACCGAGTCTTTTCGCTAATTTGGAACAGCTGTTAGCACTGGACTTATCTAATAACCATCTAACAAGCACTTGGATAAATGAAAATACTTTCACTGGTCTCATAAGAATGGTATTGTTAAATTTGTCGAATAATAGACTAACTAAATTGGAACCGAAAATTTTCAAAGACCTGTACACGTTACAGATATTAAATGTTCAGCACAATATGCTTGAAAATATTGCTGCTGATACTTTTTCACCAATGAACAATTTACATACCTTGATTTTGTCCTACAACAAAATTACTCACATTGACGCTTATGCACTGAATGGTCTTTATGTTTTATCTTTATTATCGATTGATAACAATCGTCTTGAAGAACTTCACCCGGAAGCATTTCGTAATACATCTTCGTTGCAAGACTTGAATTTAAACGGGAATCGGTTAAAGAAAGTACCCATAGCACTAAGAAATATGCGATTGTTGAGAACTCTTGATCTTGGAGAAAATCAGATAACATCACTTGAAGAACCCGGCTTTGTCGGTTTGCATAATGTTTATGGGTTACGACTCATTGGAAATAAAATAGAAAATATAAGCAAAGATGTATTTTCAGATTTGCCTACGTTACAAATCTTGAATTTGGCACGAAACAAGCTGAAACATGTCGACGTCAATGCATTCGATACACTAACCAACCTCCAAGCAATTAGATTAGATGCAAACCGCCTCACTGATATACAGGGCCTATTTGTAAACATACCCTCTCTGTTGTGGTTAAACGTATCAGATAACCAAATAGAATGGTTTGATTATACTGTTATACCATCAGGACTTCAATGGTTGGATCTTCACAGCAACAACATCAAAGAATTAGGAAATAACTACCGCATGGACAAAGAGTTAAGGTTACAAACATTAGATGCGAGTTTCAATAAAATGACGAAAATATCAACTTATTCTATTCCCAGCAGCGTGGAGCTACTTTTCTTGAATGATAATCAAATTATACAAGTTGAGGCCCAAACTTTTGTTGGAAAAACCAATTTAACGAGAGTCGATTTGTATGCAAATCAGATAACTAGTATGGATCTCAATGCGCTTCGTCTAACTCCAGTCGATCCCGGCCGGCCGTTGCCCGAATTTTATATCGGTGGAAACCCATTTCAGTGTGATTGTACTATGGAATGGTTACAACGAATAAACAAACTCGATCATCTTAGACAACACCCGAGAGTGATGGACTTGGAAAGTATTTACTGCAAGTTGTTGTACAATCGTGAACGAACTTACATTCCGCTGATCGAAGCAGAATCATCGCAGTTTTTGTGTACATACAAAACTCACTGTTTTACGTTGTGTCAATGTTGTGATTTTGATGCCTGTGATTGTGAAATGACGTGCCCATCGAACTGTACGTGTTATCACGACCAGCCGTGGTCAGCGAATATTGTGGATTGTTCCGCGGCAGGGTATTCCGAAATACCCAATAGTATACCTATGGACGCTACTGAACTATATTTAGATGGTAATAATTTTGGTGGTTTAACAAGTCACGCTTTTATTGGACGTAAAAATTTAAAAATATTGTATGCAAATAATTCTAATATCGACGCTCTCTATAATAATACTTTTAGTGGACTAAAACGCTTAACAATTTTGCATTTAGAAAAGAACAATATAAAAGAGTTACTCGGTTTCGAACTATCGCCCTTAGAAAATTTACGAGAACTTCATCTTCAAGACAATAAAATACATTATATCGATAATAGGACTTTCATGGAGTTGAGGCATTTGGAAGTATTGCGATTGGAAGGCAACAATATTTATGGCTTTGCAGTATGGCAATTTACGATGAATCCGTATTTGGTGGAAATAAGTCTCTCNAATATAAAAGAGTTACTCGGTTTCGAACTATCGCCCTTAGAAAATTTACGAGAACTTCATCTTCAAGACAATAAAATACATTATATCGATAATAGGACTTTCATGGAGTTGAGGCATTTGGAAGTATTGCGATTGGAAGGCAACAATATTTATGGCTTTGCAGTATGGCAATTTACGATGAATCCGTATTTGGTGGAAATAAGTCTCTCGCGAAATCCTTGGTCATGTGACTGCCAATACATGCATAAATTTCGAAATTGGTTTAAGAACAACCTAGGTAAGGTTGAAGATGCAAATAAAATTACATGCGTATTCGACAATGTAACGAATGCCGTGGGCCCTCTTATGGCCGATTTCAATTCAACAATTTGCACGAGTCACGTTGGAGGGAGCTCATCTATAATCGAAAACCAAGTAATAAATGATTATCTTCCGTTACTGTTGATAGCCCTGTGTGTGTTCGTCGTGAGCTCGGCCTTAATATGCGGCGTGTTTTATTGGCGTCGTGAGCTAAGAGTATGGGTTTATTACCATTGTGGATTCCGAATGTGTTACAAAAGTACAACTTTCGACGAAGAAGCCGACAAAGATCGCCTTTTCGACGCTTACATAAGTTATAGCGTCAAAGATGAGGCTTTCGTCGCTCAAATGCTAGCGCCTGGCCTAGAATCCACCGATCCCAGTTTCCGTTTATGTCTACATTACCGCGATTTTAACGCTTCGGCGTACGTTGCGGATACGATAATAGAGGCTGTCGAGTCGTCAAAGAGGACGATCATTGTCCTATCTAAAAACTTTATCAACAATGAATGGTGTCGTTTCGAATTTAAGACGGCACTACACGAAGTACTGAAAGAGAGACGAAGAAGACTGATAATAATATTGCTAGGCGATATACCGAATAGGGATATCGATCCGGAGTTGCGTTTATGTTTGAAGGCGAATACGTGCATCGAATGGGGTGATAGACAGTTTTGGCAAAAGTTGAGGTTCGCGATGCCGGACTTGCGGAAGTGTCAGTATCACCGTTCCACAGTGAATATTTACGCTTCGGTGTCACCAGTGGGGGCAGGACGGGCGGCGGCGCCGCCCCCACCACCGCCGCCGGGCAAGCTCCCCCCTCTGTTGGGCGACGGCCTGGCCATACCAGCCGGGGTCCACACGCGCGACCATCACACCCACCGCATGCCACCTCAAGCGCAGCTCTGGGCGTAGCGTATGCTCCAACGCAGGTAAACAGACACTGAGTACTTGCAACGCTTAAGCGTATTAGTCCAATAAATCGTGATAATTGTTTTAAGGTTGTTCCATATGATATTTATTTTATCTTTACGAATTGTACGTAAGTCTGAAGCTATGTTGCATTTATTTGAAGTATAGATTAATCATATTATTTTTTGTTTTAAGTTTGTGGGTTAACGTCCCGAGTTCTGCGATACTAATTTAATTTTTTTTTTGGTTGTATATATTGTTTTTGTAAAACATACACACGACGACGTAAAGATCACATAGACTCACACGCATTATTTAATTTTAATTGAATGCCAAAGTTAAGAACTCTTAAATATTGTACAGCATAATTTAATTATAGTTAATTATAAAGTAAGAAATGTAAATTATGATTTTGTAAATACTATGTATATAATGAAAGAAACTTATTGAAAAGAAACCACGAAATACACACTAAGCAATTATTTGTTTTTGTTTTATTTTTTGTTCCTGATTTTGTAATTTTTTATTTTGCTAAGTATTTCTTGTTTCATTTGCTTCTATTATTTGAGTTGATTTATTTTGAATTTGACAATCTAAGCTACAGAATATATTTTTCTTTGGAAACTGCTCTGAGTCTATAAAAATATCATTAAATACGTATAAAACATTTATGTTAGTAATTTTTTTAATACTTGTATTGAAAAATTATATTACGCATAATATATTAAATAATGCATTGAAAAGTAGTTTTATCTATTGACGAGCTAGAAGCCATAAGGACGCTTATGGAGCTTAGCTTAAGGAGCTATAAGCCATAAGATTGTACCTGTACAATCTTCACAAGAAGTATGAGTGAAGAGAACATGGGTTCTGTGCGCCGAATAGTTGAATTTGATCCACTAACCTGCTGAAGTTGAACCTTGAGTCTACGAAATACTAAATTTTATAGAAGATTTAAAAGGCCAGGATTCATTAGCTGCATTAAATAATGAAACTTATTACCGAGGAATTATTTTGATATTTGGAAAGTCTAAATTAGATAATATTTATTTACTACATAGTATAAAACAAAGTCGCTTTCTCTGTCCCTATATCCCTATGTATGCTTAAATCTTTGAAACTACGCAACGGATTTTGATGCGCTTTTTTTAATAGATAGAGAGATTGAAGATGAAAGTTTATATGTATAATAACATCCATTAAATAGTGGAGAAATCAATAATAAATTACAGTTTCCGAAGCGAAGCGAGGGCGGATCGCTAGTGCACTATATAGGTCGGCATACGCATCAGTTCATCAGCAGTGTCCCAGCTGATGTTACGTGGTTATTGGAGCCAAATGAATTCAAAAGCTGAACACTCAACTTGGCACTAGGTTGCAGTCTCTGTCCTGTATAGTAACTTCTCATCTTATGAGCGGCATCGCATACCTTCTTCACCTAACTATGGTGTTAAATAGGTTATTAATAATGTAAGCCAACACGGGTAGATACCATCGTCTTGCCTGTTTTTATCGCGAAGTAGTCCAGCATTTTAGGTTCTGCTGACCACATAACACGAAGTGGTTCCCGAATGTAAGCAAAAATAATTAAACGAATTTAAAATCTATATCTATAAAAATGAATTCCTGTTTGTTAGTCTCGCTAAAACTCGAGAACGGCTGCACCGATTTGGCTAACTTTGGTCTTGAATTATTTGTGGAAGCCCAAAGAAGGTTTAAGATATGGATAAATATGAAAATGCTCGGAATTTAATAAAAATAATAATTTTGTTTTCCCTTTGATGTATCCCCCGTTGGACGGATTGCTTCTGTTTGTTTTAAGTTTATTTTATACAAAAGTTTAAGTCTTTTATTTATCGATTGAGGCACTACGAAGTCTGCCAGGTCGGCTAGTTTGTTAATAAAAATTGATGAAGACATATTGAAGACGGTTGTTTTGTTTGGAAAATCCCAGTCTTGAAGGTCGTTTAGAATCTCTGGTTCTTTAAAGATACACAAGTTACAAGGAGAGTAATGTTAAGTTGAAAAAATCCGGTCATATAATCTATCACCTTACCATCTGGTACTGGATATATTGGTTTATTCCCGATGATGATTTTTTTCGTACTTTTTATTATATTTCGTGAGGTAGTGACTTAAAAAAACACACATTAGGAAGAATGATCACGGTTGAAATAGGTACACTGATATTGACCACCATATTGACTACCGGTGCATTAAACTGGTTTGAACTCTTTTTAGTTTACACAGAAACATCAAAAACAAGAAGTACTGTATTCAAGAAAAATAAATTGAGCAATAGGTACCTTTTAACTACTAGAATAACTAGAACTAGATCGTTCTTGAAGTGTTATTGGCCGCATGTACAATTATTTCGATTCAAAAAATGATTCAATAACTAACCATCAGTTAGATTTTAGGTCCATAAATGCCGATAGAAGTACTTTTATCATGCATAACAACATGGTGCTTTCGGTTCTGTTTGTCAGTGAATTTAAAGCTAGAAGCGGATTAAGTGAGCTAAAGTAAAGGCGAAGTTTCCTTCGACACGAGTTTAAGTGAAGATCACAAGACCAATGATCCACCAAACTTAGGTTTACAAGGTACTCTAAACTTTTAAACTTAGGAACGTGGATCTATCTCGCAAAACCGGAAACGCGATTACATCAGACGTAATTTATGGATGGAGAAAAACGAGGCAGAGATTAGTTTAGTTCCAAATAGTTGACTAATTAAATTAAAACACTTCTATTGTTTGGTTTCGTATTTATTGAACCTGATTATTCAATTTTAGACCTTTCTATTAATAAGTATTAAAATTAGTAGCACCAATTAAAAGAACATAAAAATATTGTGCAGTTGCATGAGTGTGTGTTCACTTACAGTAGAAATGAAAATTTTCAGAATTATTCTATTTTATTCTGTTACAGGCCAAATCTTATAAATGCATATAGTATTTATAATGTTACCTAATGTTATAATGCCTTGTTAGTGTCGCTTTTTCGTTTCAAATTACAACGGTGCTAAAAAAAATCACATCTATATTAAATGAGCTAGGTTTTCTCCCGTTTTATAGGAACCAGAATAATTTTACGAAAACTAGTATAATCGTATCCTTAATATGATTTATCTTTAACAAAGAGACTGACTGACTCAAAGGTGCAACAGTCATCACTAGACCAACTAGATAATCATAATAGTTTTCAGTTTATATCTATGAAGATGTCATTACCATTACATTTCATGTTAAATTATTATACGGAAAAAATAAAAGTAACAGACTAAAACATATTTTTTTTATTCTTAAAAAAAAAGTCCTAATATTTGCATCATGTCACGCTAATCGGTCACAATCAGTCCCTGTGGCGGCATCTAGCCGTCAACTCATGAAACTCACATAAAGATCCCGCAAACGTATCAAAACACGATCAACATCTGCCATTTTTATTCGCGCTCGTGTCAAAGAACAGATGGATCATAGTAAAGTTAATAGGGAAACTTGTTCTCTACCGAGTGTGGGGAATTGCCGTGCGAATTTATGTCTTGTTGTGAGTTTATGAAGGGATATGAACTGACCTTTCGCCGGCCGTAAATTCTTAGCCGTAGGCAGTTCCGTAGCTTCGAGATTTGGCGAAGGTATATAGCGATAAAATATTTGAACATATAGCTTAGCGCCTTACCTTAAAATATAGGTATTACAAAACCTGTACTCGCAATTTCAAGTTTTACTTATATGACTTTTAATAAGCCGTTCCTTGAGTTGCAAGATTTTGAAATGATATACATAACACACAATTCTAAAGAAAGTGCAAAGCAGCCGAACTAAACCGATAAGACACTTTTGAAAAAAATTCCTTTCACGTTTTCTATGTATTTAGCGACGGTTGCTAATAAAATATATACTATTGTTAGATATTCAAATTTCTAATTTACAGTTGACTTAGTCTATATCTACACTAATACTAATACTAATAATAATATCTATACTAATAATATATAATATTATAAAGAGGAAAGATTTGTTTGTTTATTTGTATTGAATAGGCTCCGAAACTACTGAACCGATTTGAAAAATTCTTTCATTGTTAGGATACTACACTATCCCCAAATGACATAGGCTATATCCTTTTTGGAAAAAATTAGGGATCCTTACTAAAACTCCAATAATGTAACCCAGTGTGTAAAAAACATACCTAAAATATTCTTTACATCGTGTGCTTTGCGAAAACTATTGATAGAATTGATAGAATAAAATAATGTACTAATGACTTTGTAGAACGCATCATTATTTACTAAAAGTGTCGGGACAGCATATGTCTAACTATTATACTTATGCCGCAATAAGTGTTCTTTTATTAAAAAAAATAAAACAACGTCAAATATCGTTGAATTTTTTGTTAAGGACCCGAGCGGAGCTTTAGCGGGCCGCTAGTGTTTAAGAAAGCTCTATTTTTTTTGTATCAACCTTTCCAAGACTTTCGCAAGGAATAAGACATGTTTTCACTGGTGGTAGGACCTCTTGTGAGTCCGCACAGGTAGGTAACACCACCCCGCCTATTTCTGCCGTGAAGCAGTAATGCATTTCGGTTTGAAGGTTGGGGTAGCCGTTGTAACTATACTGAGACCTTAGAACTTATATCTCAAGTGAAAAATACTTATACTAAATCTTATACCTACACCAATCACTTGCTTTACAGCAAAGTGAAAGCGCTGAATATGTCTTCGCCGCTTCTTCCAGCAAACTTCACAACTCCTAAAACTCCTGGCTGAAAAAAATTATGGGAAAATATTTTATTTCAAAGCGTATCCTTAATTTGTATATAAACATTAGCGACTCTCCTATAAATTTGCGTTTTCTAATGAAAATTACAAAGCCGCTCCAAAATTTATAGAGGTCAGAGAAATTTTCACGGTAAATGTTCTAAACAGTAATTTGTGGTGTAATTACGGAATGATTAAACTCTTATATACACACACGACTGAAATACTTAATTATTTCATTAAATAAATTTAGGCGTTG